AGATAGATAGATGATATATTTAGATTTAGTTTTAACATTCAAACTGATAGCAGTCTTTGTCATCATGCAGAAAGAAAAATGCAAGATAGCCAGGAACACAGGAATATCATGAGACAAGTTAAACAATATACAGAACACAGAGAAGAAAAAAGGAGGGAAAAAGAGGAAACTCCCCCTTTGTACTTACAGCAACCAATCAGAACGTAGATTGGATCCCGCATGAGTCAGCACTCTCTAACTAATCAACTAAAACTGTTTGTTCTGGCCTATTGTACACTTTGCTCTTCCAGCTATGGAATTCAATATCCTCACGTTCACCAAATTAGCATTATTTCTCCTGGAATGATAATAGTTTATGACTTGCTGTTTTTCTTCTCCTTCTCCTCTTCTTCCTCTCTTGATGCTGCAGCTGTCCAACTTCATAGTAATGCTGAGTGGTTTAGAGATTTTTTAAAAATGAAAAGAAACAAGGTATAACAAGGAAAAAGTGGGTGCTCCGTCGCTGGAGGTTTTTAAAAAGAGACTAGAGTCATTTGTCTGAAATTGTATAGGATCCCCTGCTTGAGCAGTGGGGTGAACTAGAAGACCTCCCTTCCAGTTCTATTTTGATTCTTTTTTCTGAACTGAATGTAGAAATCTCCACCCTCCAATCCCTCCCACTCCAAACTAAAGGGGCCCAGGAGAACAACCAGCTCTTACACTTGCAGAAAATAAAAATATTTCCTCAATATCAACTTCCAAAGCTTGATAAAAAAATCTGGATGCACTTGCAGGGGCCCTGAATCCACCATTCTTTTCCAGCTTACCAGGAGGTAGATATGAATGAAAAAAAGATCTCTGAGTGGACTCTTCTTCCATAGCTGCTTTGTTTTTTTAAAAAAGTGAGAACTTGAGGCACAGGGAATTGTTATGTCCTCTTCTTCCCAATTACATTATTTAAATTTAGTAGGGGTTTTTTTCTTGAGGGGGGGAAGGGGAAAGAACCCAGTTTCATGAACTCTAAAAAGTGTGTGGAGTTTAGAACAAACGAGCATAGGAAGTTATTAAGGTCACAAAGCCTATAATCTGCTTTAAGCCCTCCTTAACAAGGGTTTATTTACTTATAAAAATGGCAGGAAAAGCTGGTTAATAGCTGAAGTTAAAAAAAACAAAACAAATTGCGAGCAATACTCCCAATTCAGAATTCACCTCATTCATGAAAGTTAAAAATCCACGTGGGTTGAGGTAGGGAAAGTTGTTTTATGTTATGTTATGTTATTTTATTTTATTATTTATTTTATTTTTATTGTTATTTTTATTATTCTTTTTAAAATAGCCAGAAGAGCTTTCCTTTTCTTCCCCCCCCCACCCCACATTGCAGTATCAAATGACCTTATCAAATATATACTATATCAAATGGTATAATCGAGTTACTTCTCCAAGAAGTAACAAGAGGAACAAAAGCAGACACAGGATTTTATTTTTTAAGTAACAGTGAGATGCAGGGAACAAAATTTAATTTAACTTGCTTGCCATTTTAGCAGCAGGTCTAAATGATTAATGCCTTGCTTATTTGTTTATTTATGGAATCACTACAGTTGATTAGGGTTCCAAGTAATGTATGGTGATATTTGGTGATACGGTATGTAATAGACCAGAATGTTGCAGTGGTTTTCTTCTTCCTTAAGGAAAAAAAGCAGTCCAGTTGCCTTTTGAAAAAACACTTCTGAGACAACTATGAACTGGATGACTGAGAATCTCCACAGACAGCAGCTTTACACTTTTGAATCAAGAAGTTTTAAGTATTCTAAAGTGTAGAACTTTGTAATTGAATTTTCTGAGCCTGAGAAGAAAAAGGAACATTTAAAAACATCTGCAGAATAATAGCAGATGAACACTTTTGTGATAATCAATCAAATAATCAATTAACATCATCCCCATTAAACCAAGAATTGGTTAGAAAGAAGATAAAAGACAATAGAGAGAGTCCACCTTAACATTGTCACTGATTAAGTGAGGGCCAAGTTGCACAAATGTAATTTCTACGATGTTTAATATCTAACCTCTTTTTTTCTTCTTTCAATGAACCAAGCCTATTCTGAATCCATGAGAAGCTTGCTTTCCTAGTTGTGAGCAGGAACTTGTTGTTTCTTAATAGAGGACATTTGACAGTTGTCCTTGTCTCCGAATGTTGAGCTTACGAGCAACTTTCAGAATCAAAGCATATAAAAAGCAATTTGATGACATTTATGGATCTTTGTTTTAAAAGAGAGGGAGAGGCCCTTTTGTGCTTCACACTATCTGTGTGCCCTTGAGAGATTTCCACTCCATTTACTGACCAAACTCAATTTTTTTACTATTGTTAGCAATGCAGAGCTATTACACTCTCCCAAAGAATGAGCTGAGTATTATTCTGACGCAGGACCCATCAGCACAATTGCTAGCTAAAATTTAATCACGGGGCCTTGATTGTTTGTGTGACAAAGGGGGAAAAGCAGAGAGTTCCATTTTCAGCCACACAGCTGGAAGTCCATTCAAAGAATGGACAGGTAGGCGGGGGGCTCTATTATTTATGAACAGGATGGAATAACTGGAAAACTCACACTGACAGACATTGTATCGGCCCATTCGTGTCAACACACTTGATTCCGAGACACTGAAAGCCTTTTCACAGTATTTACTTCATTTTACTGTTGAGACTACTAAACAGGCAAAATCTCTACTGTCCTACAAACCTTGTGTCCATTTTCGTGCAGTTGATCATATCCTTTTTACTTATAATCAGACTTCGCAAGTTTTTATGTTTTTCATCATAACATAGCAAATTGGAAATTGTTTGTGGGATCCAACAGTTGATTAACATCCTCTCTGTTAAATCAGGACTCAGGAAGAAGATCAAGGGCTTGATTAACAGATTAACAGAGTTGGAAGGAACCTTATAGGTCATCTAGTCCAACCTCCCATTGGGCAATATAAAGACCCTGCCTTAATGTACTCACTGATAAATAAGGGTGAAGTTACACACATTCCAGTTTCCAAGATTCTATAATTAACCTCTTTTTTCTTTCAAAAACCCTAGCTACTCTAAATCCATGAAAATTCAGTGTTAAATGCAATAGCAATAGCACTTAGACTTATATATCAATCACTTCATAGTGGTTTACAGTCCCTTCTAAGTGGTTTACAGATTCAGCATATTGCCCCCAACAATGTGGGTCCTCATTTTACTAACCTCAAAAGGATGGAAGGTTGAATCAACATTGAGCTGGAATCGAACTCCTGGCAATGAACAGTAAGTTAGCCTTCAATACTGCATAGCCCTCCATGGCTCTCAATAACTAAATACAGTATTATCACATAACTCCTGCTTAAAGAATACTTCACTGGTTGTTCTTAAGCAACCAGGCCCATTAGATATCAGTTCAGCAAAACTTAATATATTTAGCAGCTTAGGTCTTAACAGACCACCATGAATCACCTGCCAAATTTAGCTGGAACAGTGCAGTGGATAAATGTGGAGTCTTTCTAGTCTGGCTATCCCAGGGGAAATATGAAAAAGTGAAAGCTGATTAAACTACATGGGTGTAATTATAGAATCAACAAGTGTTGAGCATATGAAATACTATTGACATAGCAGGAATGAACTTTATAGTGTGCCATATACTGTCATTAGTTGGCAGTATAAATCATTTTGTGATTATTTACCTCTGCCAGATTTTTCTTTCTTTCTCTCCCTCCATCATAAAAAAGGATCTATTTTATGCAACCTAATGATTTTTGATTGAGACATTTTGATTAGCAGATAATAAATGTAATATAATGCATTGCAATATAAAAACATAGGTCCAATATAACAACCTGTAAACAAAAATGTAGCTCTTGACATTTCTTTTAAAGAAAACTAGGTATGTCCTTAGCAGAAGGTAAAAAGTTAAGAGTTAAAATGTTTTTGGTAAGAATCATATTAATTGTATTAGAATGTAAGTATGGGATACATTTACAAGCATAATCAGAAAAATGGTTGAATGGTAGTCTTCCAAGGGACTAGATCCATTTTAGAAATATCTGTGTTTAGATCAACATACAGTAGTTGAGATTTTTGTCTTCATTGTACTTTTTCAATTATTTCCAGAGAAGAACCAGTTGAGATATTGAGGTCAGTGAGGGACTTTCTATGATGTGATGGATTGGTATGAAAACCTAAGACAGATAGATACATTTTCTTGGTTGCTTCGGCTTGTCCCTTTTTTAAAAAAAAGGAAAACCATCTTGGACATTTTGTTTTATTGTTCCAGCTCAATCCACTAAAGTAATTAATGTTTGTTTTCCTTGAAAGTGACACATCCTGCTAAAGCTTGATATCATTTTTATAAGAAGATATGAAAGGAAACAATAGTGGCAGCACCAATTTAGTGGCAGAAGAGCTATTAATGTAATGCAGCCCTGGAAGGACAGATATCGTTAATAACCCAGCTAAACTGCCAAGTGCCCAAGCCACAAAAATCCATCATTGCATCAGACAATTGCAGTGGTGGGCAAAATGGAAGAAAACTTTCTTGATTTTGCAACACAAATGTCTAGCTAGCATCTAAGCCCTCACAGTTTGTGTTGTGTATTGTTTGGTAACCCCTTGTCTTCTGAGACCGTTTATCTACTGTCTTGGACACCTTAATGACAAGTGTGGGAGAAAATGGAATCACTTCTGCTTCTATGTATCATTCACAGGTTGTCATTTTCTAATTGATTTTTCCTGTAAGCACCTCAAATCCCCTTACATCAAAAGCAGACATAAATGTCACTGGTAGTTTGAAAGTGAGAGAACAAATATGCCCATTTTTTCAGCCATCTTATTGTAAACCTACAATGAACAATCAACTACCTTATCAAAGTAGTTTAGTCTATGACATCTTTTTTATTTATTGCACTTGTAAGTCATTCAAGTGAAGTTCTTAAAGGAATTTCTTTAGAGCTCCCACATATTAGTTTTTTTGGGGGGAGGAATATGTACTCAGAGAGGGATTTCAATTTATTACATGAGCATGGATGAATAGAAGGAGAAAAATAGGACCATGTTTCTAGCATTTTGATTCTCCTAGAAGGATTCTCCCTGGTTAGTGTTGATTAAAGATCTTTGTTCATTTTCTTCAAGCAAAATCAAGTGAGATTTATCCAAACAGAGAAGATTGAACATTATAGAAAGAATTAAGGTTTCTAAGCAGGCAGGAAAATTGCCAAGAAAACCCCATGAAACACTGTCAAGTCTAACAATGCAACAGAGTCTTAGACATTGGGGTGGGATAATCAATTTATTTTCTGGCCCAGTTTAAAGATAACCATACCCTGTTAGAAACTGCTTTCTTTCCTTTTCTCCTTGTACAAAACTTGGCTTTGGAAGCAACTAGAGGAAGAGAGGAGAAGGAAGATGATTTTTTAACAAATCCTTCATTGATTTCCAATGTCATGTCAATCGGAAATTTCCAATAGAAGATTTATGGGGATATTCTGGGGAGGAGTTTTGGTATAAAGGGAATACCTAAAATTAAAAACAGGACTCTCTTAACCACCCCACCCTAATTTTCATGTAATTTCTTTGTTTCATGTATACAGGGAATTCTAAAAGTGTATATCTCTCATCTACAACTGCAAACTGTTTTCAGTCTTATCATTTTCACATTACAGATATGTATTAGATATTTAAATTAAAGATGATTTCCTGTATTCACATCAAACAACTCCAGCTACTAGAGTTAGAGCTGGGGGAGTGGTGGGCACAGTGGTTTGAATGCAGTATTTCAGGCTAATTCCGCTGACTGTCAGCAGTTCAATTCTGAACGTTGACTCAGCCTTCCATCCTTCCGAGGTAAGTAAAATGAGGACCAGACTGTTGGGGGCAATATGCTGACTCAGTAAACAGCTTAGAGTGGGATGTAAAATACTATGAAGAGGTATATAAGTCTAAGTGCTATTGTTTTTGCTACTATACTTGATTTAGAGAAGGTTGTTCTAAATAACCCTAACGGAACTGGCCTGCCCCAGAAGAGCCTTCCTTGTAGTGGCTCTTGCCCCTTAGAATATCTTACCCCCTGAGACAAGATTGACTCCCACTCTTCTGACTTTTCCTAAGAGCCTTAACAACTCTGTCAAATGGCTTGGGGACAAATGCCTTGAGCCCAATGGGAATCAATCACACTGGAGGTGGTTGATTAATTAACAGCTAATCCCCTCCTTCCCCCCATGTCCTTCCTTCTCTGTCTTGTGACAATGATTTTTGATTTATTGTCATTTTATTGGATTAGGAATATTTATTTTTGATGAGTTTAATGTTTTTATGGTGTAAGTCACCCAGAGTCATTTCAAAAGAGATGGGCAGGAAATAAATTTAATTAATAAGCAAATAATAAAATAGATAAACAAAAGGAAAGGACTTCAAACATATTTAACCGAAAGGGATAAAAGAATAAACTGCTCAGCTAGAAAAAAAACAAGTATCAGGGGAAAGATACAATTTAATACCTATTTTGGTTCAATGTTCTCTTAGGAGAGAATCTCCTGTTTACCTACTGACTGGGAAGTGCAAGACGAAGCTTCCAATTTGAACTTGATTGAAACATAATCAAGGAATACTTTTTCACTGAATAAATTCAACACCAGTATCACAGAGTACTGAAAGAACATGGTGATTGTCTGGCTGATTTCTATCCATTATCTCCGAGAAATCCTGAAGACAAATGAAAGTGCCAGGTGATTAGAGACAGCAAATATTGTTTCTAAAAAGAGGGAAAGAGACTTTAGAAAATACAGACCATTCCATCTGATGTTTATACCTGGTAAGTTTTTTCAACAGATCACAAAGTGTCATCACTGTAAACATCTTGGAAACAGTGCAGTAATTACTATTTTTAAACATGGTTTGGCTGAAATCTTTATCTGGCTGTTCAGATAAAATCATACTCTTATAAAATGGAAGAGAACTATGAAATCAGGCATCATAGAACCTGGTTCTGGGTCCAACCCATCATGTAACATTTACATTTGTGGAGGTCTGGGCCAGTGGTGGAATACTGCTGGTTTGGACTGTTTCTAGCGAACTGGTAGTTCCCAACATCATCTGGCCTCATCCATGCGCACCCGCCCTATCCTGTCCTTTATTTCCTTCTTTCTGGCTCAGTTGATTCACTCAACATAGCTGATTTCCATACCTCAGCTGTTCTACTTACCAGGGCTGTCCCAGCAGGTAAGCATTTGAGCTTCATATTGCTGTAATTTGAATGCTGTATGTGTGCATGCGCACTCACAGAACTGGTTGTTAAACTGGTTGAAGCCCACCACTGTCTGGAGCATCTTATTAAAAAGCCTCTTTTATGGTAAGAGCATTACAACAGTGGAAATAAGAAGGTCAAAAGCTTTCCTTCAGTGAGAATGTTCAAGGAGAATCTGGACAGGTAGATATTAGTAATACCTATATTTGGGATCCTGTACTGAGAAGAAGATCAGACTAAATAGCCTAAATGTCCCTTTCTAGTTCTGAGTTTCACTGCCCTCAAGATCTTCATTATTATCATTTTAGAATGACCTTCTCCATTCTTTCCTTTCAGGGACAGAATTTTAAATTTGCTTTAGCCCCGGTGTTCTCTGAATATAGTACTGTATCATTTCTCATGCATAGAAACTGAAGACAATTGTAATATTGCCATTAAAGTTTTAATACAAGTTCCATTGGTTTCTTAGAAAGGCAATATCTCAGGTGCATATTAGCGAGTGTTATAAACACTGACTCGGGTGACTAAAATGAAACATAAAGAAAAGCACAGTTTTTGTCCTTGCTCAAGTAATTCGAAGTTGTGATGTTTCATTCATGACTGATACTTGGATTGCTTTTACAACACTGTTAGCAAACTGCTCCTGTCAAAATAGACCGAGCTTCTTCCTTCCTTTCCAGTAAACATGACAATACTCTTAAATTTCAGTTTCTTCTTCTTTTTATGTGTATTATGATAGCATTCTAAAAAGCCACAATCAGCACTCCATTGTGCAGAAAGCTTCGCAAAGAGACAAGCCATTATAACCTCTGAACTCGCAGTTTAACTTGAGCTTTAAACCTCCGAAATGAAATTGGTTTTGCAATAAGCTCAAAGCTAGTATTCAATACATTGGGCTAATGTGCTGTGGGCATCATATCAATTCCTTTTTACAGTGACTTTAATGATGTTTAAAGCGAATATCATCCCAGGGAATGTTGGCATATATTTTTTTCAATTGTTAACAATCTTTTATTTTTTTAGACTAGTTTATATTTTGAGATGCCAAAGTATTTTGTCAGGTATTCCCTTCATCCATGGCAATCTGGGATTCTCACTGGGGCACCTGCCAAGCTCTCTCCAAAAATATTTTGGTTCAACAACTGGAAAATGGACAAAGCCAAAGCAAGCCCAAACATCATCTTTATTTTCCATTTTATGCTTCTATCATTATCCTTCCTGGAAAATAGAAATGATGTACAGCCATGGCCCATTACTATATTTAAAAGTGTTCATATCTGTCAAGATAAAGAACAAAGGAAAACAAGAAGGAAGGGACATATTTGTGGCAATAGCATTAACTGATTATATACCCATGACATGAATGGCTGACTCACCCACCCATCCCCTGCTACTTTACAAAAGTTTTCTGTCTGAATTTCAAATATACCCAGCAACAACCAAGGATTGAAAACTGAAGGTAATGACAAACAAACCAGAGCTCCTTTGATATGGAAGCATAAAGGCTTACTGAAGCTTGAATTAGATTACTGTATCTACAATCTAATGCTTTCCAGGTGATTTCTCAAACCTTTAGTGTTAATAGCTACCATGTCTGGATTACAAAATACAAATAACCAGAAGAAGGCAGCAAGGAGAATTCTTTAATTTCTCTTTGCTGCCTTCTAGTGGTTGCTTGGTCTTTGCAAACTGGTCATGTGGGCCTTAGAGTGCACTGTGCTCAAATTTAAGGTGGCAGATAATATTGTTTTAAAAATCAAGTATATAGAAGTGTGTATGTATAAAAATCAAAATTCAGTTCTGTTGACTTGGGGCTGTTAGATTCAGATATGTCTAAATATAAAACAGTAGGTTATTGGATACTGGATTGTAGCTTGCTCACAATGTTTTAACCCCCCATCCCCCCAGGAGTAGAGGACACCAGAAATGGAAAATGCCTAACTATGTCTTCCAAATATCTTGATCTTGATTTCCTTTTTCAAATAACTCTGAGCAAGTATGTGTCAACCAACTTTAAAGCTTCAACCACAACCTAAAACTTAAATCAACTTAAATCAATTGAAAAACAGAAATCTGTCCTGAGCTGGTTTCTTCATGTTGCATTTCTGACACAAAGCTTTACTTTCATAGGATCAAACTGGAAGGGGAGACAAAAAGAGATGGCTATAGGGAGAACACTCATGATCTGCTATTTATTTAATGAAAAGAAGGACTAGGGCTGACATGATAGCAGTCTTCCAATATCCAAGGGGCTGCCACAAAGAAAAGAGGGTCAATCTATCACCAAAGCACCTGAAGGCAGGACAAAAAGCAATGGATGGAAACCAACCAACTTAGAACTAAGGAGGAATTTACTGACAGTTAGAACAATGTGTCTAGTGGGAATTGGGTTTCATTTTGAATTTACTATTTTTATTTGATATGCACTTAAAGCTATATCCTTTTCAGATGCTTTCATCAGGGAAAATGGGGAATGACTCTCATATTGCCACGTTTGATAATTGGACATGTCCCTTTGGCTCCTACATCCAACTCTTCTTTTATTTTGCCCTTAGTGATTCTTTCAAGGACCTTCCCTTTCTCCTTGCATTTCCATGAGATATAAAAATGAATGTCTCTGCATATAGCATCATTAGCTTGGATATGACATGCAATTACTTTTCTTTCCTCACAATAAATGTTTTTCTGTAGCGTAGCTGGCAATCAGATCCTTTTATGCACTCCACCACACTGCAAAAATAAATATCCCAATTAAGGGCTACCAGTGCTTTTAGGCCCCTTGTTTTTGATAATTTTACTCTGGTGTACGAATCTCACAAATGGAATTGTTTTTAATTGTGGCATTTATGGATGTGCTGCCTTACTGAAAGGTGAACTGAATAAACATTTAGATCAAGTTTCCCGTGCAATTAAAAAGAGGCTCACTTTTTATGAAAATTTAGAAGGCACTCCAATCCCACATATCCTGGCAATATTAGATACCCTTTGCCTTTTTTGTATCCTGTTTTAAAATTGGGAACTTCTTGGTATATTTTGATTTAAAACATCTTTGAAATGAATAATAAAGGTGGATGTGCCTACGTCTATGAGAGAAGAGACAAATAGTGATATCTAAGAAAAACAAGATGATTGAAAAATGGGGAAAAGAAGGAAGAGGGAGGACTCTGCAGCAGAGAGTTTACCCAAGCCCTTGAAGCAGCAGAAAATGGAAGATTATATTGCAAACAGTCTGTTCCAGTGAGTAACTCATTCACAGGCACCTTGTCAGACAAACTTAATTTATGTGATTCATTGGAAGGGGACTTACAAACCGAACTGGAAGATAACCAGTGTGTAGAGCTGTCCTCCTCCCTCTTGGAGGGTGGCTTCTGTTCTTGGAGCCCAGCAGCAGCCTTCTTTGCTCATGGGGGAGATGTAACAAATTTAAAGAAGGAAAATGTGACAGACTTCCTCTCTAGACAATGTTTGCTTACAGCTCAAACTGTAAACTCAATATATGATATTTTGTCAATTGTCATAAATAAGGTCGATTGCCTGAAAGAATCTTTTGTAACGTTTGTTAGGAGCCACTCAAATACTGTAGAAGGACTTGGGAGGATAACCATGGATAGATATGGGATGGCTAACTCAGAAAATGAAACTAGCAAAGGACCTCGTTTTCCTCCCCAAAATTTGAACACATATAGAGAAAACACTCAATCAGGTAAAGGCTTAAGAGATGACCAACACTACGGTCTGCAAACTAACCAGGTTACCTTGCAAATTTATGACAAGAGAGTAAATAGAGGGCGTTGGAGTGATAGAAAAGCTATTAGGCTGTACCTGAGCCAGCTGCTCCGTTGTGAACTCACAGAAAAAGTGTACCCACTCCTGAAACAGCATCACCAAGTGGGAACTGTTGCTTTAAATCTAGGTTGCAACAGCTCTCACATTGCTAAACCTGAGGCTGCTGCAACTGACCCCAAGAAGGCAAAGAAGCAATATACAAACTTTGTTACCCACAGCTGTAGGAACTGCTGAGGATGTGCCAGAGGAAACGTTGATTGACTTTCAGTGCATTGTCAGAACCTGAGCAAGTTAACATCATTCAAAGATTGGATGACCTAAAAGAGGCATTGACTCAATTTACAACAAAGCCTCTATTTAATTTGGCTCCACTAACCATGCAATCTTGTGACAATGTATTGAATCAACAAACTGCCTCTACCTTAACAGTAAAATAAGGTACTGTCACACAAGCTGACTGTGGAGTAACTGCACTGACTGACCCAACCTCTGAGAAACAACTGAAAATCAAAGGGCTTCATCACACAGGGCCCCGTAAACTGACAAACACTAAGGAGATAATCCAGCTTCCAGTTTCAATGGATTTAGAAGCTCCCATAACAGCTTTCCACAAGATGAATCCTCAGCTATGCCACTCCAAAAATGGACATAAATCTACATTTATAGATTTAAACCAGAGTATCTGCCCATTGGGAAAAAAATCATTCTTGGAGCAAGAGCAAAGGCATACTGGCAACCGAGATATAGAGGAGCAACAACAAGTTCTGCAACCCATGAGGAGAAATATCGAACCTCACAACAATTGTGTTTATAGAGGAAGCTTAGATGATATTGATCTGGCTCCAATGTCAAGTTGACATCTTTACCATCCAGCCAATTAACCAAGCCAGATCATCTTGCTTCTGAGAACCCCATACAGTTGGTGACCTGGAATATAGCGGGCTGGAAAGGGATAGTTGATAGTGGACTAATGAGATTTTTCTCTAGATTTGACGTAATAGCTCTTCAAGAAACTTGGCTAACTGAAGTGGATGAACCAGTACAACTGCCAGGCTTTCAGGGATGGGCCTCCCCAGCTCAAAAAACAAAGAACAAAGGGAGACCCTCTGGTGGACTATGCATTCTTATAAAGCAAGAGTTGCAATGGCAGGGAGAGAAATTATATAAGGAAGATAAGTATCCGTACTTTCTAGCTGTCAAATTTGAATATGACCAGTTTGAATTAATATTGGTAAATATTCCCCCAAGCACATCCCAGCACTATAATTCTGAATATTGGATGTGCTTGGAAGTTATCCTAGAAGATATAGCAATACTGTATCCTCAGTCCATAGTGGTTTTATTAGGAGATCTGAACACTAGACTGGGTCCCTCTTCGTATGAGCTTGCCCAGAAGAAGGGAATCCCGGGGGAGTTCTTTGAAAACCATCCTCAGTGGCTCTCAAGAAATTGTAAAAGTAATGCCCCTGGTTTGCTCCCAGTCTCCTTAATTTTTAAGGGTAATCTCCAAATTTTGGGAGGTAAGGATAAGAATTACATATACCCTTATACACACCACCCAACTAATTCAAGTAGTGTACTAGATCGCTTTTGTGTGTCTAGAGATATGAGAGAAGAGGGGGGATTTATCTCTATTCACCAATTCAGTTAAAAAACTACTTCAGTCTTTTTTACTGCATTCCAAAAGAAATTAGAAGTTGCACTTATGGCTGATCAGAAAATGAAGTGAAAGTTCCTATAGTACTTTAAAGTTAGTGACTTTGCCAGTTATAATTATTATGAGAGCAATTCTTCCCTGATTTGTGTGTTTGTGTGTGTGTTTGTGTGTGCTATTTGGCTTTCCATTTTCTACTGTCTAGCATAACATTTAGTAGTTCTCAGTAATTATGCAATGATTTAGAAATGATGGTTGGCAGGGTGGATCGGGAATAGAAGGGGACGTATCCAGTTGGATGACCACTAATGCTAATAAAGAAAAAGTATTGTGAGTTATTTAGAAAAGACAGAGGAACAAGCAGGGAAATAAGATTTCACAAAGGAGATAGGAGGGTTGCATGATAAAATTTCCAACTGGAAACATACAATTTTAAGGAAGAAAGGACTTCTTGCCTTATCTGTAAACAAAACCTGGGACCAAAATACCTGCATAGCAATTGCATAATGGATTAACAGCTACTGTGCATTCCCTGAAGCCATTAACCATTTCTAAGTGGTAGTGCACATCAAAATAATCTGTTTATGATAGTACAAAATGCAGTTGCTGGATGAAAATTGCATTCAGTAAATTGCAACAAAGGAACCAATGCCAATCATGATTCTTTTGCTTTGTATTTGTTTATTGCACTTACCATACATTTCTCGGTTCTTGCAAGACCAGTGAAATTAAGTTATGCCATCTGAGTGAGTCATTTTTTTTTTGGGGGGGGGGGGGGGGGGGGATAGATTAAGGACATAAAAACACAGCTGGGTCAGCCAGGCATCCATTTATTTTCATGTCCTGATTTAAGGCAATCAGTTGCAAGCCTTTAAAAATCACAATATCAGGACTTAGAAGTTGAATTGATCAAAGGTAACCATTTCCATTTCTTCTGTTTGTCATTTTTCTACTCCTTTCAGTCTAGTCAAGCTTTTTTATTTTAAAATGTTCATATTTTGCAAGCAATTACTCTCATATAAGATTCCTTTCTAAGCTTCAGTTTCACCAACACAATTTGTGGGCCTCTTTTCTGTAACACATCTAGCCATTTTCTTCATCCATTGCTTTATATTAAGGTGACCAATCATCCTCCTTTAGGGAGGACAGTCCTCCTTTTGTAAGTTCCGTCCTCCCTTGAAAAGTTTCCTCCTACATGTCCTCCTTTTTTATATTTGAAGACTAATCTGTAAATCTCTGTATCTGATCTATGCCGAGCCGATCTGTTGTGTGTGATGTGACGTATTTTTATTTGACATGACGATTTGTCAAGGCTCGGTATGCGATTATGAGACATGATTATGAGACGCATGTGCTCCACACAGGAGAATTATTTTGAAAGAGTGTGCCGTGAGCAAGGTTGTGCTATGGCAAGAGTGTGCCATGCACAAGAGTGCACCATGTGCAAGAGTGTGCCTCACACAAGTGGCTTTGTTTTTTTTTCTTCAATTTATTTGTGTCCTTTTCATTGTAAAACAGTTGGTCACCTTATTTATATATTTTCAGAAACACCATCAAAAGCTAAGTGTAAATACCAAGTATGCATTTATGTATTACACTTTTATCCTGTATTTCCTCTCAGGGCTCATTATAGCTGCTGGTAGCTGTTTTCCCTCAGATTAAGTTTCAGCTTCTAAGAGCCAGTTTGGTGTAGTAGTTAAACGCATGGGGCGAGAAACCAGGAACAATTGAGTTCTAGCCTTGCCTTAGGCATGAAGTCCAATGAGTGACTTTAGATATCCCAGCCCGGGGAAAAAAGATAAGGTCAAACTACTTCCAAAAATGGTGCTGAGAAAATTGCAATTGCCAAGAGTCAAGAGTGAATAGAAGGCACATGTACACGCATGCACACACACATGTGAGGGAATAAGCAAAAAGCATGATGGTCCCAAAGTCACCAAGAGATGTGCTTAAACCTCAATACATCTCCTTAACTCAGGGGTGGGCAAACTACGGCCCGCGGGCCACATCCGGCCCGTTGGTCTTTTTAATCCGGCCCGCCGAAGATTGGTACAGAATTAAGGTTTGATGTGAATGATTGAATGATTGCATTCATTTGATTTTGACTTGTAATGACAGGCATTTCGACACCAGGTGGTGCATTAGGCGCAGTGACTTGATTTTGCGGAGATTTTTCAGTTTTTTATATGTATCGTATCTTGTGCTGACCCGGCCCGTCTGTCAAATTTTAAAAGTCAATGAGGCCCCCGAGCCAAAAAGTTTGCCCACCCCTGCCTTAACTGCTACCTAACACTTCTTTTAGTTGACATACTGATTCACAATTTCAACATTCATTCCTATCCTTAATACAATGCAGTAATCATCTCCATGTGCTTTAATCTTACAATACAACAATATATACATTTTTTATTCAGCCTAATATAAAGCATGCCCTATCAAAAATATGGTGGTTTCGTGTTTCTTTTGGGGAATACTAGGGTCATATCTTGGATATGACTCCAGCTGCTCATTTCTAGAGCCTCTGGCTAGTTAAAAAAAAACCATCCACTAAGCCAACAGCGCATGCCCCCCCCCCCGCACCAAATATATAATCTACACACAAGTAGAGTTCCAAAATTACACAAGAAGGTGGAGATGTCAAAACATGCAGCAGCCCAAATCTGATCACAGCATCCCTTCCTCCTGAGCTTGAAGGAATTAACCAGACCTTAATTGCTCTCCTGGAACTCAGAATTGAAGGAGGAAACTGGAACTCAGCAGGGAGGGAATTCCAGAGCATGAAGGTAGTGACTGAAAATGGCCACTTCTCCATCTAGCTGTGATCTCATATGGACATGACCTAGAGGCAGTTGACTCTATTCAATATAATCACACAGGCAAATGACTACAAGGTTAGATAGCCCATAGATAACCCGGTCTAGACCATGTAGGTGACAACCAGCGCTTGAATTGCACCTGGAAGCAAGCTGGTAACCAGGAGAGCATCCCAACCCAGTGGGGTTCATCCAAGTATTTTGGGATATGCCAAACACTGCGCAGGCTACCTCATTGTGCACCAACTGTAGCTCCCAGATATTTTTTTAGGGACAGCTCCAAATGGAGGCATAACAGAAGTAGTGTAGCTAATCCTTGACTTACAACAGTTCATTTAGTTCAAAGTTACAACAATGTTCACTTTTTACACGTACAACCCTTGGTCACGTGATCAAAATTTGGATGCTTGGCAACTGGTTCATATTTAGGACAGTTGCCGTGTTCAGAGCTCATGTGATCAGCTTTTGTGAACTTCTGACAAGCAACGTCAGTAGGGAGGCCAGATTTACTTAACAAAACCATGTTAGCAGCTTAACAACTGCAACAATTCACTTAACAGTCATGGCAGGAAAGATCATAAAATGGGGCAAAACTCACTTAGCAAAGGTTTCACTTAGCAACATAAAATTTTGGGCTCAATTGTGATCATGTCGAGGACTACCTGTACAAGTAGGGGATGACTCAGTACTTGTTTCCCGCATATGTATATATCAGTAGGTTAGGTATGATCATGACTGTGTGGGAGACTAGGGTAAGGATTTAATTCATTTCATTTTTATATGAACTTAACCTGTATTCATAATTCTTTATTAATAATAAGGGGTCAAGGTGAAGAAGGTGTGTGGGGACAAAGTGATCACTGTGAATGCTTTGTGTTTAAAAATCCAATTTTGGAATTCCATTGTATTCAGCCCAGTATGTGGTGCATCATTAGAGATTTTTGCTTCTTGTCTTTTCTCTCTCTCCACCCCTCCCGTGGGCTCATCAACTTTACAGATACATGGCAGGTAGGTACAACATGATCTGCTCCATGCTGAGAATGATTGTGCTGCTTAAATTGGGCTGGTGTGTCTTGCTGAGAATTTTGCTTGCCTTGTTCTTTGAAGAGCTTAGGAAAATTTGCAAATGGTCTCATAAACTATGGTAAGAATCCGAGCCTTTAAAGATGTACCAGAGGTGGAGAAAGCAAAACTGACAGATGAAATTGTGGTTTCAGGACCCTTTGCCAGACTTAATAAACTTGCTAGAATAGGATAGGATAGGATAGGATAGAATAGGATAGAATAGAATAGAATAGAATAGAATAGAATAGAATAGAATAGAATAGAATAGAA